GGTGGAATTTACGCAGCTCATTTACACACTTTTCCTGAAGATAGAAGAGTTTGTTGAATCTGACGTGACATGTTCGTACGAACCCTTTGTACGAAGAGAAATTTAGGATAAGAATACGAACATACTCTTGCATGAGGCCCATTGTTACACCTTTTAAGCTCTCACAGGCCTCATGTAGTTGAGAATGCTCTTCAACATAATCTGACTGCTTAAAGTGCCTGTGTTGTGCATGTCCATGAAATACAAAAAGTCAAAGAAAACATCTGTATATTTTAAAAACTTGGCGTAATACACATGATTTTACCCATTATGTCACATAATTAGCATATTTTCTCCTGAACTTGACTCAGGTGAAGTAAAACAGGAAGTGACATCAAAGGGGAACTCTTTGAGAAAGTTTTTGTTCACTGAAACAATATTATTTGAACTCTGTTTCCTCATCTCTTTATAATAGTGATTAAAATAAACTAAGGAAACATCAGATTATTCTCTACAGTGTGTGTTGGCGGCCTTTTTAGCAACACTCTGTTCATGTTCAAACATTCGCCTTTGACATCAGTTCCTGTTACTTCACATGCAAATAGCTCAACAACTGTTCATCTCAGCAGTATGAAATCTTTTTTACAAAATGTTATCAATGTAATTTTTTCAAAAATGCATTCATATTTATTACAAAAATTTGATGTGACAGGCACTTTAATGATGTCCTGAAATCCATGTTTGATAATTTCACTTGAACTGTTAGAGTCAGCTTTGTCTATTAGCAATATATTTCATGAACTACTGGACATAATTTTTGTGAATCTTTCAGAATATAATCACTAACTGATTATTGTTTGGAGCCAACCAATTCAAGATGGCTGCCACAGCCAACTGATCGTGTAGAAAATATTATATCCATACAGCCAATCTTAGAGATATCAAATTAGAGTTTGAATTGGTAGTAGCTTGGACTCATCCTCAAACATATTTGAAGCACTAAGTTTTGGAAAACTTTGGCTTTCTTTAATGGAGTCAGTGGTGTTTGTTAAATCCATCACAATGGACAGATTTTAATTAAACACTCAATGTAATCACTGGAAGTGCATCTAAGTCAATGTCAATTTTATTTATACAGCACATAAAAACAACAAAGGTTGGCCAAAGTGCTTCACAGTTAAGCCAAATAAATAAAACAATTGAGCAACACATAAATGTAGACAATAAAATCAATTTAAAATACAGAAAAACATTAAAAACTTTATCATTAAAAAAACTCAAACTCTACCAGAATGAAAGGCCAGGGAGTAAAAGTGAGTTTTAAGTACAGATTTAAAAGTCTCAACAGTCTCAGCAGTCCGTATGCTAAGAGGTAAATCATTCCAGAGTTTTGGGGCAGAAACTGCAAAGGCCCGATCACCTCTAAACTTTAGCCTGGATCTAGGAACATCTAACAGGAACCGGTTGGATGACCGAAGCGCTCTAACTGAAGTGTGGATGTTAATGAGATCACACAGGTAGGATGGGGCCAGATCCTTTAAAGCTTTAAAAGTAAGCAATAAAATCTTAAAATTGATCCTAAAGTGAACAGGAAGCCATTGGAGAGAAGCCAGAACCGGAGATATGTGTTTGTTTGTTTTTTTGTTCCTGTTAAAAGACGAGCTGCTGCGTTTTGGACAACTTGTAATCGATGCAGAGAAGATTTATCTAAACAAATATACAATGATTTACAAATATCCAAACGAGATGTAATGACAGCATGAATCACTTTCTAATTCGTTTGGGAGGTATGGCTTCACTTTAGCAATAATTCTTAGTTGGAAAAACTCGATTTTACCACTGAGTTTATCTGCCTGTCCAATTTGAACAAATTATCAAAAAATAAACCTAAATTTCTGACAGCAGAGCAGCTGTATGAAGCCAGAGGACCAAGATTGTCAGGAGAAATGTCTTTATCAAAGCTGATGACTTCTTTCTTACTTTCATTTAGATTCAGGAAATTTAATTTCAGCCAGATTTTTATGTCATTCAGACAGCTCAGGAGTGATTTGAATGAATAAATCAAACCCGGCTTGATAGGCAGGTAGACCTAAATGTTGTCAGCAAAACAATGGAAAGGAATCTTATATTTATTAAAAATGGACCCCCGAGGCAACATATAAAGATTAAAAAGCAGAGGGCCTAGAATAGAGCCTTGCGGGACCCCACAAGTCAGAGGAGCTAAAGAAGAGGAGCAATCTCCTAAATGAACAGAAAAACTCCTATTTGTTAAGTAAGCTCTAAACCAGGATAAAACTGTGCCTTTGATACCAACCATCTACAAATTAACCCAATTAACTAAATGCAAGATGACCACCACAACTACACTGATTTAGAAAACATAAAAATAGCTGTAACTCAGTCAATTTTACAGATATTGAGCTCAAATATAGTGTTGAGAATCATTCAAATCACAAAACTAAAATAAAATAAGACTGATAAAATTATCTTTTTTTAAAACTGTTTTGATAGGCTGAAATGCATTTCTTTAAGCTCTTTATTTATAAAGAAAACATTTCCACTGCGGTTAGTTTTATCAATGATTGATAATTTCCAATTCAGCTCCTATGAAGATGTACTCAAATTGTCTAATATGTGATAAAGAAAACAAGGCTGTTGTGAAATGTAGCCTAAATATAAAAGCATCTCCCCTCTTATCATCCTAATCCAGAACATAATCACTGTGACACCACATCTTGAGCGTGCAGAAACATGCAGCAGCAGCAGCAGCATCAAATTCCTTTGTGTTGGTGTGCAGAAGCTGGCTCTTTTATGTTTTACTACAAGGCTGCCTTTAGGACCCAGTGTGCCTCTTGTGTAGTTTCTGTGTGGAGATGAGGAACACTGAGATGTGCTTCTTTGCCCATCACGATTCACATCGCAGCTCTGAGAGCTGAGAATGCTGCAGAACAGGCTCGTTTAACGTGACAGTTTTTTTTTCTTTTATTTACCTGCATGCTTCTTTAGTTCGTCGTTTCCTAACACCATACAGGTGTTTTTATTTATAATAGTTCAGATTTATTTTATATTATTTTCATTTTTCCTTCTATTCCTGGGAAATTATGAGCCCATCTTGGGAGCATCCTTCCTCCTGTTGGCTGGAATCATGATTGATCAGCTTTACTTTAAGCTCCCAGTCCATCAGTCAGGTCCAAGCAGCACAGAGCCCTGAACTAAATTGTCTTCAACTTTCTTCAGCATCTTCGACGTAGCCAGCTGCAGAAGGTTTTTTTTCTTTTCTTTTCTTTTTTATTTTTTGCACTTGAGGTGAGTCTCTGACCCAAAGCATATTTATTGTATTTTCAGGTTCTTCTTTCCTCCCCATCATGTATGTCAGTCAGCACTGGAAAGCGTGGGAGAGAAAAACCTCATCCTTCACCCATATTCCCTTTCTCCTAACCCCCATCCTCCTCCTCCTCTTCTCGAGAGTCAGCATTTGATGCTTCTCATTGACCCAGTTACAGAATCCATGGGATCTGTAACCTGATTTCATGTCATACACTCCATGTTGGCTGAATGAAAATGTGGGACGTGACAGTGAATACTAATTACGGTCACTTGCTGTTTCTCTGTCTGCCTCCCCCGCTCCGTCTATTTGTTTATTTATTAAGCTAGTGCACTACTGAAGGGAATCCACCACCACCACACTGTTTTCCTGAGAAATGAACTGGTATTAACTGGATCTGTTCATCCTTACATGTGTGGTTAAGTTGAAGGTTTTGGTTGATTGCAGGATTGTGGAAGCAGCCATGAGGAGCAAAGGGAGCACATGTTCACTCCTCATCTACCTGCTGCTGCTCACAGTTCTCTGGGAAGTCAGGTAAGCCCTCTTGGAAAGGGGACACCTATCATCAGAACACACAATTTGTCTATGACCATATTTTTTTGTTTGTTTTTACCTGTTATTAGACACACAGATCATTTCCTATTATTATGAATAATATACCTAACCTAAAAGGACTGCTGGGAAATTAGATCAAATCAGTTGACATAAGCACTTCTCAGTATTATTGATCCTGTTGTGGGGCTCTTTAATTTCACAATCTCTCCCGACCCTTTGGAATGAAAATTACAATTCTGTCTTGTACACTGGATTTGAAAATTCTAATTGCTACCACAGACAGTTTAAAATGGCTCTAATTCAGCTGTTTTAAAAGGACAACATGACACAATAAATGGAGAAATTAATAGAAAACTAGACATGGGTTTTTACGATGTAAAAACAAGTGTGCATTGCCATGTAGCATGTCATTGCAGCATGGCTTTGCCTGCAGCATTGGACTTGCAGAATGAACTTTGACCAAGTTCAAATGTGTTTTCTTTACCAGCTTGTGCCTGTCACGTCAGCAGGTGTTTAGAATTAAGGTAATTGTGTGACAATATGAAGTRTGAAGAGATTTTTTGTAAAAGTTGCATTAGCCAGCTTTTGAACGCTGATCTCCCACATGAAAGTCCATGACATAGACCATTAGACCAATGGAGTTGTGTTAGAAGTGGTTGGCAGGGGTTGGTTTGTATGTGTGCAGAAAGAGGCCACATTGCCAACACAATTATTGACACTAAACTGCATAATATTATAACAATGGAGCAGTATTAAGACAATATTATAGTAAAACATGAAAATACAATCATATTAGTATTGTAAACACTGAACTATTGAGAATAAATATTAAAAAACTATGGTGCAGTACCAAGTTGAGTACAGCTGGGGACAGTATTGGACCATTACAAGGCCCCATTGACTCCCATTTTATGAATTTGGAATAAAGTTTCAACATTAATATTTCAAAAACTACAAGTTGTACAGGTACCAAAAGGCATAGCAATCATTTAGCACAGGACCTTTACAGATAGAAATTACAATGCCAGCTGTAGGACAATGTAGGCAGGAGCATTGGACTTTCAGAAAGAACTTTGACCAAGTTCAAATGTGTTTTCTATACCAGCTTGTGCCTGTCACGTCAGCAGGTGTTTGTAATTAAGGTAATTGTGTGACAATATGAAGTTTGAAGAGATTTCTGTTAAAGTTTCTGTAGTTGGATTTAAACCCTGATCTCCTGTATGAAAGCCCACAGTGCTCATCATGAGACTATAGGAGATGAGGCAGAGGATAATCCCAGGGACTGGACTGGATGTATACAGAAAAAGTTTACCTTGCCAATGCAATTATTGACACTTAAGTGCAATATATTATTGCAATATAAAAACATAAAGACAGTATAACAGTAAAACATCAAAATGCAATCATATTAATATTGTAATCACTGAACTACTGAGTTTAAATATTATGAAACTATGGTGCAGTACCATAT